AATAAAATAAAAAAATCCTTTTTTAACAAAATAAAAAAGTGAAGTGTTGTTCACTTCAGCCAAGTGTTAATGCCCCTGGGGGCTGGTTTAAGACCCCACCCTTCCTTTCAGTCTGCCACTTCTCAGTTTCCTGTTAGGGAGTCAGCACCACCGTGCTGGAGTTCCATTCACCTTTCCTCTGTTTTAGCCTCCACAGCCTTGGATGCCAGTAGGCGGGACCAACCTGCCCACTTTGCCTGTCTGCCTGCTGTCAGTCTTAATCACTCAAGTGTCTGTTTCTGTCAGGGCTATAGGTGGGAGTGGTGCCATATAGCTTTCTGGTACTGAACAGCCCCTCTTCAACCCAGTCCCTGAGGGCTCTTTGGGGCTAGTCAGAGTCTTTTTGTCCTTTATACAGCTCAAATGGTGGTCTGGGTGAGGCTGTATTTGCTATCTTGAGACTGCGGGGAGGGCTGGCTCTTCAGGAGAAAAATGGCTGCTTAGGTCTGTAGGGTCAGGAATGTCTTAGTGATAGATTCCTGGTCACCTCTCCCGGACCCACTCTCCGCCTCAGCCTCTCCCCAGACTCCACAAGTCCATACCTCGACTTGCACCACAGCCTTGGTGAGTGTTTGTATTTGAAAGTTCCAACTTTCAAATAAAAGCAAAGACAAAATAGAGACAAAACAACCACAGGCCTGCGAGTTCCCCCCTCTCTATTCCCAGCCCTCCTTCCCCACCGCCCGGCCGGCTCGGCAGCTCTTCAGGCTGCCTTTCTGGGGCAGCCTCTTGCAGCTGTGACTTAGATCTAGATCCCCAACCACCAGCAGTCCCATGGACTTCCTTTCCACTGTTGGGTGTCCGTCTGTCCCCAAGGGACGCAGACTTGGTGCCGTGCAGCTTCCTTCTGACCCTCTCGGTCTGGTCGTCACATGTCTCTCTCCTGCCCAGATCCCCAATCCTACTGTTCTCCAGGCATCCTCTGTCCTTCCCGGCTGTGAATTGTCTCACCAGCTGTGTCTACTTTGTCAACTCCAGGTGGATGTTATTTGATTAGTTGTTTCTTCTCTAGGATGAGGTTCAGGACATGTCTGCCTATTCAGCCACCATCTTTCCTCTCCCCCAAGATCCTTTACTCTTGTACTATGTTTCTCAGGAGATGTTACTAACATTTTGAGAGAGGATTTTCCTTGTGCGGGTAGCATATCACTTTTTACAATACTTTTAGTATCCATCCTGACCCTTACCCACCAAACAGCAGTAATGCCTTTCCCCACTCACAGTTTGCAATGTCCCCTAAGAAGAGCCACTGAGCTGATGAGAGACAGATAAATCACTGACCCAGGCACCCAGTGACTTACATCAAATCATCTTGTGCCACTAGTTAATAGTGTCTATTATTCATCTGATATCTGTAACTGTTGTAAATGTTATGAGAGTGGGATTGCCATACTTAGCAAGTAAAAACTCAGAATGCCCAGCTATCTGGCAGCTCTATATGAGAAACAATGCAAATGCTAATGTTACATTTCATTCTCTCTTTACCCCACTGACTCGGGATCACCAGCAAACTGAAACTCAAGTATTTGGGATTTAGAAAAATGTGTTAATTGATACATCTTCTATTATAAGCTTGTAATGGCTAAAGGAATATTCTCATCATATAAAAATCTAATTTGTAATAACAAATAATTAGTCTATTGAATGTAACTAAAAACAAAATACTCATGAAAATTTATATTTCTCCTGCTACAGATATTAGACACTGGAGGCTTAGTGCATGAAATTATGTGCACTTGGAGATGGGGGTCCCTCACCTTGCCTGTGCCCTCATGCAGTCCAGTACCCCTCAGCAGACATCCCTCTCACAGTCCGGGACCCCTCACTCCTTACTGCCCACCTGCAGCAGAGGAGAGAGAGGCTCCCACCACTGCCACTGCACTCGCCAGCCATGAGTACAGCTTCTGGCTGAGCAGTGCTCCCCCTGTGGGAGCACCCTGGCCAGCAGGGGGCAGCTCCTGAGTTGAGCATCTTTCCCCTGGTGGTCAATGGGTGTCATAGCAACCAGTTGTTGCACCGTTCAGTCGATTTGCATATTAGGGTTTTATTATATAGGATTATATATTCTTCAGCTATAATGTACTTAAGAAAAAAGCCAAAGATAGTCAGCAATTTAAGCAATAGGGCAAGCCAGACTCAAATAATTTCATATCAACTCTGAAAGGTTCATGATCTTCATTTCTTGTGGAATCAGAAGAGATAAGGGGATTATGACAAAGAATAATTTCAATTTTCCTGATTGAATTAGGAAAACTTAGACCTCTAATATTTTTCATACAATCTCTGTTGACACGACTGACATTAAGGAGAAAAATGATAAGGCATTATTATCACATAAAATGTTATTTCAACTGAAAATATACTCATGTACACCAGTTTTCTGCTTGTTTGTTTCAGATTTTTTTTAGAAGTGATAATTCTGTAAGGAAGATATGCCACAATGAATGAAATAGCTTTTAACCCATAGTAAAGAAACATAGAAAAGCCATTATGGTTGATGCAGCAAGTTTAGGAAAATGAAGTTGTTATTAAATATGACAGGCTGTCACGACCAAAAAAAAAAAAAAGTAATTGATGCAAACATAGAAATAAAATTATATTTGTAGTTAGTGCCTTTCCTAAAATAATGGAAATCTTTTCTAAGTTAACAGTTTGGAATAACGTTGGCAAAAACAGCAAAACCTCAGATTAGAAATCTCTAAATGTGAAGCATATTAACATTATTTAGAGTCACTGCTCCACATGCTTTTGTTTTTCTTCACATTTTCTTTAAAATAATTACATTTATATCCCCTTTGGTTTCCTGTGCATGATTATGTTATTCTTTTTCTCTGTGACTTAGTATTTTGAACCAGGCTTCCTATTACTTGGCTTCAATAAATCCATAATCAGCTAAAATTGGATTATTTTTGCTTTTCACAGCACATAATAAAATCTGAATTTCCTGTAATTATTTTCCCTGTTGTAAAATCACCATTTCTTTTATGACTTTAAATAAGAATGCTGTATAAATATATGTTATTATGATCTCCACCTGGTACTCAGTGAAGCACCTTCAATAGGAACATTTTCTCAGAAAGCGATGAGGCATTGCACATGGACACATATTAACTTTGTGCTCGGTGATAAAGGTGATAAATATCCCATCCGTAACAAAGGAGAAATTAGTTTCACTGTTAGTGGAAAGTTACCCCAGAGCAATGTCTGGCCTCCCTCTTGCCACTTTTGCCACGCCTCCTAAGGCTTAAGGGACTTCATCCCTGTTGGACAATTTTACTAAAGCCCCATGAAATCAACAACAAAGCCAGTTTACTCACAGTACGTGATTTTCTTTCAGTGGTTTCTTTCTTTAATCCAGTGTACATGCATAAGACGCCCCCGTTAAAACGTTCTTTGTAACTTTGATCTTTCCCAAAAACATCTCTAAAGATCTAAGAAATGCTGGTCTTTAGTACCAAGTGTCTCCATAGAAGCGAGATTCATAGTGCATGGTATACCAGATCCCTGTAATCCTGGTCTAATTTCAAAGCCTCAAATTTTGACTTAAAAAGGTTGCAAAATTTGTATCAAGAAACAGAGTGAAGTCTCAAAAAAAAAAAAAAAAAAAAAAAAAGAACTTGTCCTAGCTGGTTTGGCTCAGTGGAAAGAGCATCAGCCTGTGGACTAAAGGGTCCCAGGTTTGATTCAGGTCAAGGGCACATGGCTGGATTGTGGGCTCAATCCCTAGTAGGGGTTGTGCAGGAGGCAGCTGATCAATGATTCTCTCTTATCATTGATGTTACTATCTTCCTCTCCCTTCCTCTCTGAAATCAATAAAAACATATTTTGAAAAAAATAAAAATAAGGAACTTGCTAAATCTGAGCTTGTAGGAAGAGAGATCTTAGGTCTCCACATACAAAAACTGCTGGGCCCAAATGAAATGCATTTCTTACAACAACCAGCATAACTTACTTTGGGGCATTATTTGATTTAAACTTAGATATACCATATCTTCCCAGTGCTGCCCACGCACTGGTAATGCATATATACTAAATTCACTTCTGAATGATTTTCGTGGCTTTAAGGTCATTGAAACACCAACATAATAATCCTACTACAATTCCAAAGCGCAAGGTTTCTAATTCATATTTGGACGTGAGAAATTTCACAAAGAGGAAGTGGCTCCGTATTTGTTTTTTATCTATAGTGCAAGTTTTGTGTCCTGGAAGTCTGTCAGCTACCTGATATCACTTTCCCTTTAAAGTAGGCCTCAGTTTGCTGGTCTGTAAAATGAGAATTTTTTGACTGGATGATTTCTTAAATCCTTCTTTGCTCTGACATTCTTTGATTCTATGATTCATTATATAATTTTATGAGTAAATTTCCAAGTAATTTACTTTGATTTTTGCTTCACAACTGCCTTCCCCAAAATGGGAAAGCATGTGGTTCTACCTTTGCAAACTCTGATGTCTTATCCCAAATAGAAAAGTGTAGCTAATTAAGAGTGGTGTATGTTGGTTTTCTCCCCACTCTTTCAAAAACATGTGTACTTACTGCCACGTACGAAAGTTTTTCTTATTTGAAGCCCTGAAACTAACATATCAGAATTAAAGGACTGTTCCTTCTAGTGGGCGCGATTGTGGCTATTTCCACATTTCTGTAATCTGAATTCTGCAGGCAGACAACATCAGTAATGTGCATTTATATCCCCTTGGTCAAATGTAGGTTTAGAACATTTATTTTAGCATTCTGATGCTTCTAAAAGCTCCTTAATTAGAACTAGTTAAAATAGTTTTCTTTTTAAAACACTAGGTTGATCTTTTAAAAATTTATGAAAATGTATTTTTTTTTCCTTTTAGTTTCATAGCTTCCTTGTAAGGTTTGATGGGTTTGCTGATTATAGGTTTTATCCCAGTTAAATGATCAACAACTTTTCCACAAAGAAGATTTTGATGAATGTCAATTTTTGGTCTTTTAAAAGGGTCCTTCCCGGACTTTGGGATGGAGACGTTTTGCCCCAGCTTCCTGAGGGCCGGGTTTCTGAGCAGCATCCAGGCTCCCACGCCAGTGGCAGCGGGAGGGTCGCTGCCCCCCAGGCTCCCGGCTGGTACGTATTTCAGGTGAAATTTCCTGCCCTCATAGACAGCAGGAGGACTGTGCTTACAGTTGATAGATCCACAATAAAATAAATACATAAAGTACATTGTTTAGAGAAATGCAAGTGACTTTGTTTAAATGCAGGAATCACATTTATGGTAACCGGTGCTGTGGAAATGGTAAGAAGTAGAGGGAAGATCTATAACCTGAGCACCTCAATAGCACAGGGCTGACATTTTAAAATGCAAGTTTTAAATTTAATAAGCCAGTTTGTGGATTATTGGTGGTATCTTTATAACCAAATTTTGTGTTCTCTATCATTTTGTAAAATATCCAGCTGCCTTCCTCCCTTGTACCTGGAGAATGCAAACCTACTTTATATTTTATATGTGTCTTGGCAAAACAGCACTAAGATTGAGTCTTGGAGTTTTTAAATCATAATTCTTCTTTTTGTCATAATTAATAATTATGCTACAAATTATGGTGATGACACCAATGCATTCGGGAGAGCTGGCCCAACCACCAGTATACTGGGAACATTTAAAAAGACTGGGAAATCCAGTAGAAACAAAATCCCAACATGCACATTTCTTAGTAAAATTATACCAACAAAGCCCAAGATTATTGTATTGATAGTTTTCTTTTGCCTTTTATTTACACTTGCCTACTTAATTAAAACATACAAGGAGTTACAAACTATAAATAAGCTTTGATGCCATTTGGTTTTATCATTGGATAATTACTGACATGATTGGAGACGTCATGACCATCAATGCCACACTAATAGATTAAGAACCAAAAATGTATGTGAATTTAAAATTAGCAATTTTAATTCTCATGAGTGTTTGCCACGTTTTTCTCTCCCTAGAAACAAAAAGGATATCAAGTGCACATTTTTTGTCGTTGTTGTTGCAAACAAAAAAATGTAACTTTCATAAATATCATTAATATCTCAGTTATTGGAATTAGGAGATGAATGGATTATCTGTATTTTAATGGCTTAATTCTTGACTCTTGATAACAAATCTTGGTGGATTTAGGTATGTGTGGCCGAAATGACATAACAAAGTTTGGTAGTGACTTAAATTATTCAACATCACTGATAAAAAATAATAACAATAACCCTTGATTAGCCACTGAGAATAATAGAAGCCAGACGAGGTTTCTGTAACACATGCACAGAAACAACTTTCTTGAGAGAGATCGAAGAGAACACTGTAGCATTCCATTCCTCTAGGCTTTACGCCAAATTTGCCTCTAGCTTTCATGGGAGAGAAAACTCAGTTCAATTTTCATGACTTAAATATAAATCAGGTGTAACAAAATTGCTTCATAAAAAGTTTATAGATCTAAACTTGTTTCTGTTCCCTCAAACCAAAATTAACTCAACTCACTTCTCCTTGGTTTATGTAACTCTGATAAGGGATCCGTGGAAATTTCTCTCCCACTTTCAGTAATGATTGCTGTGATTTCCGAGGTAGTTTTTATCCTCTTCCATTCAACTATAGCTTGTTTCCCAAGAATTTTCTTTATAATTTTGTGCAAAGAGGAAGGAAGCCATAATCATGGGTTTTTATAGTTTCATATTAAAAAGAAAAAAAAAAAAGCTAAAGTATTTCTGTGCCACAGGGTAGCTGAGCTGATGGCCCCTGCAGTCAGTTTGAGGGCAGAAGCAGTTCCTCCCTTGACCTATAGCCTGGCACTGCAAACAGCTGGCCAAAGGTCGATGTCCTCCGGGCAGTAATTAATTTGCTTTCCACCAGTTGGCTGTATGTCGCAATACTTCAAAGGTCCCTGAAGACTTCTGCTGTGTCCTTCAAAGAATCACAAAGCCTGTCCTAGTGGTGATGCTGACTTAGCTCTCATTACTACGTTAATCAGATTTAAATGAGGTCCATGTCTTATATAAACTTGTTTCTTTATATGCATGTCACACTGCACTATCAAGGAGCCATATTTTATAGCACTTATTTTTACATTAACTACAATAATAGAATTATTGAATAGTGGGACCATAAAGCAATGTAAATAATTGACAACTGTTACATAAATACTAATTTTAGGCATAAAATTAGTATTTGTGTAAGAGTTGTCAGTTATTTACATTGTTTATATTTGGTTCTCTTTATCCAACGGTTTTGCATCTATGGACTCAACAAACCTCAGTTGGAAAATATTTGAGAAAAGAAATTCCAGAAAGTTCCAAAAAACAAAACTTGCCACACACCAAGCATTATACTGAATTCATGAAAATGAAATTATGCGTGAGCATACCCTACTGTAACTTATATGCTATATAGGTTATATGCAAATGCAACCCATTTTATATAAGGGACTTCAGCATCCTTGGATTTTGGTATCCCAGTTGGAGGGAAGGAGCTAGAATTAACCTAGTGTGGATACCTAGGGACTAGAAAGGCTTGGTAAAGGCTTATTATTCTTAGTTTCAAATCAAGAAAAACACCAGGATATAATTGGCTGACAGTTGAATAGTAAGTATCCTATCTAATAAGGAGAGCTAATTGACCATCACATCTTCACAATGATGGTGGCACCCACAGCCACAAGATGGTGGTGCCCAGTCCTCTCACCCCCCAGGGCTGACCCAAGGAGCAGGCAAGCCTTGGATGGCAGCTGCCCAGCTGCCAAAGGCTGCCTGAGGCTCAGATAACCAGGGCGGGCCAAGGCTTGTGCTGCCGGCAGTGGCAGCAGCAGAGGTGTGATGGGGCATCACCTTTCCCTGATCACTGGGTCACCTCCCACTCCTGAGGGCTCCTGGACTGTGAGAGGGGGAAGGCCAGGCTGAGGGAACCCCCTTCAGTGCATAAATTTTCATGCACCGTGTCTCTAGTAGTCATATATTTAATGCAATGTCTTTCATATAGTAGACAACCTAATGAAGTAAGAAAATCACAGGAGAGAAGAAGAAGGGAGAGCAAAGGTTGGAAGAGAGGGGAGAAGACAAGGGAAAGAAGGAGATGGGGAAAGAAAGGAGAAATTAAAATGGCATAACTGAAATTAGGATTTTTACTATCAAAGTCTTTCCTACTATATTCCTCCCGATTAAAGTCAAATCCTACTCTTTGAGAAGAATGAATATGGCTATTCTAAATATATTATCAGGCATATACTCTAAGCTTGCTCTCTTTACTATATCTAGTTTTTTAATTTAATTCTATAATCTAACCATTCTCAGACGTGAGATAGAACATTTTAATATGCCATTGACTATTGATTCTATACACAATCTTGACTAGTAGCTCACCTCATGGCAGACTCTGCCTCTATCATAATCTTTTATATTATAGAGGGTTCCACATGCTTAGCATATGTGAATGAAAACAGAATAATAAAGTAATTGAGAAATAAAATTATGCAATGAAAATAATGAAGTAATAATGGAAATTTCATTGATTGAGTTTTCTCTGTCACTTTACAATAAGTATCTGACATCATATGATATCTTAAATTTACATCAGATCCAAACATTACTGTCTCAAAAACTAAACTTATTTATAAAATATCAAAGAGTATTTATTATCTGACAATTACTTAGAAAATACTATCCTAGGTTGAATACAATTTGGATCAACAAAATTAGCTTGAATTTTTCTGTCATTTTTTTGTAGGAAACTGGAAAAATAATATTTTTTATTAATGAAGTCTATATACATAGATTCTAGGCCAAACTGAAACATATACCTAAACTAACAAGCTTTGTCGACTATAAGTGAAGGCTGTGAAAGAAAAAACAATGAAAACAGATGGCATGTAGGATTTAAAAATGGATTAATTCTGAAAAAAAGGAAAATCAGTGTTGAAGATCTCCCTACAATTTCCTTTGTGGTTAATCTTAAAAGTCCTCAGTTATGAAAGGACTGTTCTTCAGAAGCCCATCTCGGCTTCCTGCCTGTGCTTTACATACAGTACAATAGAGTATATAACACCTCCTTTGACATTTTTACCTGAGCTTCTTTTTGTTGCATGACATGTGTTAAGTTCAAAGTAAATGGCAAAGATGGAATAAATAGTTGATTTCATCTTTTTTCCCTGCCTCTTACTGCCTTGGCAAAGCCATGATTCTCCTCTGCCCACTCTGAACCAAATAGCAGCAGAAATATGAACACATGGGATTCAAAAATGAGATTTCATAATTAATAATGAAGTTTAATATTATTTAATTCTTTACCCTTTGGAAAGAGATTTGGATAAGCCTTGAACTCCAATAACCAGACATTTTAATATCCTTATAACTGTCCCCTGACTAGCAATGTTAGGAAATGAATTCATAATTCAGTTGTCTATAAACCACTAACAGATCCATCTTAGATCATATCTATAGCAAAGGATTTACAATGTTGAGCCAATAATAAAATGTCTTCAATGTCCATTAACAATCGTTTTTTATAGTTCATGTGAAATCCTGTCTATACAGAGTCAGAGCAAATGTTGCACACTTTATTCTCGAGGCAAATAAAATTTTCATTCATAAGACATACATTTTAAATGTTAGAAATAAGCCAGGAATGACAAACAGGGTTAAAGCTGCTGAGAACCTAGGATCTAGTGAACATGATATTATCAGGTTTTGATGCATATAGAGGACTGCAGAAAAGCAGTAATAGAAATATAGAAGACTAGGTGGCAGACTTTGGAGGAATGTACAATGAGTTAAGGAAAATTGGCATGAACTCAATATGTCAAGGGAAATCAGTGGAAAAGTATATACCTTTTAAATACAATCAAACTGCAGTACAGAAAAATTGAAGCAAACCATTTTTATTTCTTCATATGTTCAGGCATTCTTAAAAAAAAAAAAAAAAGTCAGTAACTTTGTTTTAGGTTCACAATTTGAGATTTCAAAATTAATCACTTTTGACAAGACAGTTTCTGTTGACCACAGTTCTCCTGAGGATGGTTATTCTTTTCATGTTTTTGCAATATTTATGACAACTTACCTATTTTATATTTAACAATATATTGTTGTAACAAATATGCATACTATATAAG